AGAAAAACACATCTTTGTGTACATACATTGGCTGACCGGTTTGGAGATTGAGTGTAACATCAAGGTAGTCTACAGAATGTTTACGTACATCGTAATCTTAAGTCGAACTCGGTAAACACGTTCACCAACTCAGCTCTTATTTTGTGTACAGTACAGGATACATTATCAAATACTGCGAGACCGTCATCACGGTAAAGACCAATCTTTTTTGAGCTAAATTGACGCTCAAGGTGGTGGAGCGAGGATGAATAGACCAATTGCCTCACATAACTCCGCTCCATCAAAAATTGCCCATGGCAACGTCGAACATACTATTTTCATAATGAATATTTTTAGTTATTTTGAAAGAAATACCGCTTGGGGGTCAACAGAAGAATTTCTTAATTTGCAAGTGATCAGCAGGTATTCGACAACACGAAGCAGATTTACATTGAAGCGCTAAAATTTAGTGGTTTTATTGACGAAATGAAGTATAATCAAAATGAGATTGTAAACCATAAGCGAAAAAAAAACCGGAGTAGGAATATAATATGGTTTAATCCTCCATATAGTATGAACATTAAAACTCATGTTGCAAAGTCATTTTTAAACCTTGTTAGTCTTGCATTGACTTCCGGTAAAAGAAAAAATGACCAATCAGCATTCAATTACGTGTTCTGTCTGTGAGCTCGAGTGAGTGTACGTTTCGAGCGCAATGTTTCGAAACTCGTTTCCTGGTTTCAGTTTATTAATCAAATGCTCGCGCCTGGATTATCCCTCTAGTCTGAAAGCCCGGCAGAGTTAAGCCGGGCTTAAACTTGAGCCAGACTTAACGTAAGTCTGGCTTATCTTAAAGTCTGAACTAAGGCTAAGCCAGGATTAAGTTAAGCCTGGCTCAACGTTAAGTTTCAAAAAATTGCTCGCGAAACGTGCGTACGCTCGCTCACAGCGTACGTAATTGAATGCTGACTGGTAATTTTGTTTCCCGGAAGTCAATGCAAGACCCATGGCAACGTCGAACATACTATTTTCATAATGAATATTTTTAGTTATTTTGAAAGAAATACCGCTTGGGGGTCAGCAGGTATTCGACAACACGAAGCAACGGCCTTTGGCGTAGAAAATTTCCACCTGATCGCGGTTAATATGCAAAAAACCTCTATATGTAAGAGAGCAGTATATGCTAACGATCAGTCTATCTGAGGATCGTGATAGTGTGAAACGTGCATTATAGACTCACTTCTATCTATGTCCAGTTAACATAAATAAATAAATAAATCTATATATATACATACATATATATATATATATGTATATATATATATATATATATATATATATATATAAATCATCAACGAAAGGTAAATACATTGTTCGATTAAAGGACATAATCATTTGTAGCATAGCTCTCAACGAATGTAGTCCTATAAATAAACAAATAAAGAAATTGTGTAATAAAATTCTTCTGGCGGGATTCGAACCTGCGACCTCTCGCTGTCAGGGCGAGCGTCATAACCATTAGATCACAGAGGCTTCATGGTTGAACAGATTCCAATACCGCAAAACACACTCTATTACACAAAAGGTACGGTTAGAAACAAATAATGGCATAATAATATAAATGTATATATATCAATCTGCATACAACGTTGTTTCGTCCTTTAAGGACTCATCAGTGCAGCTCAGATAAAGTTGAGATTGAACCTTTGCTATGAAACAAGCAAGCTTGTAACAAGGCAGTTTAAAAGCGCTCGTAATACCATGCCAAGAGTGCTCAAACTACATATAGTAGTGGGCCAGCTAAATGCAAAACAGCAATGGTACATATATATATATATATATATATATATATATATATATATATATATATACATATCGTCATAAATCCACGTGTGTTCTTGAAATAATATAAAAGGCGTTGAAACAAAGAATTGAAGCAACGAGTGATGTGGACTATAAAACACTGGTTTATTTCAAAAGAAATTTTCGACCAGTCCTCTGGTCTTCTTCTGCTTACAAAACTAAATGACAAAATGTCGCTGATACAAGAGATCTATTATACAAATAAACAATATTTTTGTTTAATCTAATTATTAATATTATTATTATTATTAATGGCTCTAATGGGAGGCTCTAAAATATTGATTCGGCACCAGTTTTGAACGACGAACTTGCAGGGAATGTTATAAACCATTTTCGTGAAATTCGAAATAAAAATTTCCAATAACGTGACGACTACCAACTATGGCGACTTTCAGAGGCCTAGCATTTCGCGGTACGTATTACTGTCATGGATAACATCAACAATAAATCTAAATTGCTAACGACCACAAACATTTTAAAACGGAAAAAAACACGAAATGTTTATATTGAAAAAAAAGTCCAAGTATTAAATATCTATTTTTTTTTTTTTTTTTAAAGAATTGGAACCTCTGGATGGCCAGAAATGACACTCTCAAGATTTAAATTTTTTTATTCCAACGACCTGTCAAATTTGAGGGGGGGGGGGTGTCCTGATGTGCTTTGGGATGTATGTAATTTTGTAATCTAATACACTGTGATTGTGTAAGTGACAACTAAGTACAATTCAATTGGGCAATTTAAAAAAAAAAAGATTTTTTATTGGTTGAGAATCTATGCTGTAGCCAATAAATAAAATCCTTTTGTTTTGAAATGCCATATAAACAACATGGCTAAAAGTCCAGGTGTTATTTATCTCTTGTTTATTTGGGAATAATCATCTATTTTATGGAATAAATACAGAGTTCCTTCATTATATTAAAGTTTTGGTTTGTTTATTTAGTTATGTAATCAGAAACTACAGTTACACCTTATTTTACGGGAACCTTAATTTGTTTATTTTGTATTTCATTTGTTTTATGAAATGACAATAATAATAATAATAATAATAATAATAATAATAATAATAATATTGGCAATAAGTTGTTACAATACTGTAACTTACAAAGCAACTTTTAAAAAATAGTAACGTTGCATGCATTAAAAAAGATGCTGTTAAAATAATATTAGAAACTTTTTAGTAGGAATACATATATACAGTACAGTAAAATGTACAATAGTCAGCGAGTTCGTCAAACAAGGTATAAAAAAAAGTCTCGCCTTGGGTAGCATCTTTTTAAAGAAAATAATTAATTTCATTAAAAAAAACACAAGTTACTGATTGATTAAATAATTCTATTTTAAATATGAAATGATTATGCACAGTTAAGGTAACATAGGACAACATTTAAAAGATTTATATTAGTGCTACTGAAACTGTTAATTATTTCAAGGTTTTATCTAAGTGCAAATCCAAGTTTGATTGCTTAATTAAAGAAATACTTTGGATCAAAGAACTGAAAACTACACTTAACAAACAAACTGATTCAGTCAGCGCTAAACTGTTTATCTAGTTAATCTGCTAAGAAGGGCTAATATTATTGCTTAGCCCCACTGTGGCTCCACACAGTAGGCCCTATTGATATGTAAATTAATTACTTACTTCCTGTCACTGTTTGGTATTTTTGTTTTTAGTTCAAAAGTTTAGTTTATTCAGGATGTATTTGTTGGGAAAAGAACCCACTCTTTTGTGAAATCAAGATGGTTATAGGTGAAAATTGTAAATTTAGAAATACGTTTTTTTTTTCCTTTGAACTGAGATCAATATGTGATTTTTTAAAATTTCTTTGAAAGCATTTGTTTTTTAACAATTACAGCAGAGGCAAATAATGTTTTGAGAGATAATCGAAAAACAATGGCCATTGAGTAACACTTTTTGATAGTTGAATTAAAAGAAACGTTATTTCACTAACAAAGTAGAGGAATGACATACAGTATACAGTACTTCAACTACCAAAATATGCAACTCATAGATAACCACAAACTTCATTTTTGTTAAATATCAAATGAATTAACTTTACATGTTATAAACAATGCAAATAAACAGTTGTTAAAGCATGTGGATTAATTGTGTGTTTGAATTACAAGTTCATGTATGAAAAAAGGGAGAGTCTTACTTTCTCGCAATTTAGCAATAAATTGTCTGCTTAGAGTTTATTCAAAGAAGTATTGCTTTTAGTAATCTGAATCATTAGGAATACATTTATTTAAGCAACTAATTTAGTTGCATACTTGGTTTTTACTCATCACTAACTAAATCCAAGTGCCTACTACTGGCTTAGAATTATATATAGTTATGTATGGCAATTATGCTAAGAATTAAAATGGCGTGCGATTGTGAGGGTAGGGTGATTATGGTAGGATTAAGTGGTATTGCTAAATCCCACAAACCTCCCAAAACACACTGTAGAAAATCAAACAATTCAATTGTGATTGACTGACTTGGTATATCAATAAGAAAATTATACATTCATAACTATTTTTTGGTTAAAATTTAGATTTTTTATGAAAAAATACTTGCAAATACACCACAAACCTCTAAACACACTGTAAACCCCATCTAAACCATATAATTATGATTGTAGAACTCTCTTTTTCTTAAAAAAAATAATAATTTGATGTTCATACTAACCCACTGTTTATGAGGTTTACCAATACACAGATTGAATTTTTGGAAAATTGTGATTTCGCTTCCGTGAAATCGGCCACAAGTAAATTATTTTAGTATTAATAAATGCATGATTTATGTTGATTTATTGATTATGTTTTTGCTATTTTTTAACATTTAAATGGAGAAAAAAAAAATAAAAAGTGTAATTCATGGCTTTTTATTTATCTTTGAATATTTTATCATTGAATATTAATTCTTGCAAAAAGTAAGATGTAAATGGCAATTCGTTTGATGTTAGATTCCTTTTAAAAACTAAATTATTTAAGATAAAAAAAATGCATATATTGAATCAAGAAAATCAGTTATAATACAGAATTTGATTATTGGGGTCATTTTTACCTACCTGTCATATGGGGCCACTTTTACCGGGGCCATTCTTACCGTACACCTGATAGCTATTATAGGCTACAACATTGATAAGCTTAAATATAATTATAATTAAAGCGTTTAAAATATCTGAAAGTCGAATTTCAAAAATATAACTATAATGACGAATATATATACAGCGTATAGCAAATAATATAATAAATGGTATAAAGCAAAAATGGAAGGCATAGAAGCAGGATATATAGTATATATAATTATATAGGCCTATATAATGACGAATGGAAAGAGCTGATGCAATTTAAGTACTGCATGGAAAGTTGTTTTATTACTACAAAAACAATTTCTTAAATCTGCTGCCAGAAATATATAGGTTATTGGAAGACTAGAATTATACACAGTATTGACGAGGAAAGTGTACAAATGTTCTGATAGTATAATTTGAAAATGAAACTAATGGTCGCACGCATTACAAAAGTAATCTGACTCATATATGCCACACATTCATGGACGTTTTATTACTGTAATTTTGATTAAGGTGCGCCGATGATACAAAAGATCCAATTAATTGATTTATTTCCTCAATAGTGATGAAGTCTATATAGTTTGAATCCGGGTTCACATAAGAAATAGAGGAAATAAGACAGGTAATCTCTTGTTAACATAAATTTATTTTTTGGCCTATAAATATCACACCTATTTCCTAGTAGTTCAATATAACACCAATATTTGCCAGCATCAGCTAATACTCCAAAAGGAGTGGTAATACTACTGTATTTCTGGTAGGCACGGTACGTTTGAGCTCTGTGCTAATTAGTGATTCTCTTCTACAATAGTAACAACTCGCCTACTCATGTTTAAATTCTCTTTTACGGTTACTGGTTATGGTGTACGGTAAGAATGGCCCGGAAAAAATGGCCTAGGAAAAAATGTAAATGGCAATTTATTTGATGTTAGATTCCTTTTTAAAAACTAAATTATTTCAGTTAAAAGAAATGCATATAATGATTTTTAAAAAATCAGTATTAATGCAGAATTTTATTATTGGGGCCATTTTTACCTACCTGTCATTTGGAGCCATTTTTACCGGGGCCATTTTTTCCGGGGCCATTTTTACCAAATTCGCTGGTTATACACTGAATGCAGTTTCTTATTGTTTAAACATTCACTTTATCTTGTGACAATTAGGGTGTGAACAGAATATCGATATGTATTCTTTACTCAAAGTTGTAGAATTTTAATGTTTACAATACCATAATATTTGTGTGTAGTACGTAACAAAAAGTGGTCAGTTTTCATGAAATTTTGAGCCGTTTGGCTTGACTTTTGACGGAAATTTCGGGAACAAAAAAATATATAAATAAAACATTCCTTTTCATTAATTTTGAAAAAGAAAACAACAACAACAACAACAATAATAATAATAATAATAATAATAATAATAATAATAATAATAATAATAATAATAATAGTGTAGTTTTATATAGCGCACATATCCATCAAATGTAAGATATATAAATAAAACATTCCTTTTCATTAATTTTGAAAAAGAAAACAACAACAACAACAACAACAACAACAACAACAATAATAATAATAATAATAATAATAATAATAATAATAATAATAATAATAATAATAATAATAATAATAATAATAATAATAATAGTGTAGTTTTATATAGCGCACATATCCATCAAATGTAAGATGCTCATGGGCGCTTGATATGTGGCCTAGGATCTCGATCAACGACATTTTTAGCCCCTAAGGTCCCTTCGTGTCTGCGCTACCCAGTAACCCGGTACCAGCAACTCTCGGCGTCCACCACAGGGGCTGTTTGTTCCAATACACCGGTGTATCCCCTACTCGTCTCGAAGGATGTACTGGGTTCTTTATAGTGTACACGAGCCATCGTATACACTGGACCTTATCCGAGAAGACTTGTTCAACCACCATCTAATGCTTGTGGTGTGTAACCGCTCGGCCATTCGACTCACCAAATAATAATAATAATAATAATAATAATAATAATAATAATAATAATAATAATAATAATAATAATAATAATAATAATAATAATAATAATAATAATAATAATAATAATAATAATAATATAATGTATAATGGCTCATGTATGGACTTTCAAAATGGAACCTAAAGGCGTATTTTATACAGTCACTAATAATAATTTAAAGTCTACTTCTGAAACAAAGAAGATTGAGATGGCTTGGCCACCTCTGTAGAATGGAAGATGGTAGATTCCCCAAGGATTTCCTATATGGGGAATTAGAAGAAGGAACAAGACCAGTTGGACGTCCAAAGGTACGCTTCAGAGACATGTAAAAGGGATATGAATTGATTCAACATCAATCCATCCAGATTTGAATCATTAGTAATTGACAGGTTGGCGTCAGGCAATACGCAGTGGAGCAGTCATGATAAAAACTGGTTCCTTCAGTTAAAACAACAGCGCCGGGCATTCAACATGCTGCAATATCTCATAGATTCAATCGTTCAAGTGCCATAAATGTGAACTAGAAACTACTGTAAGTGTCCTGTGAAACTGTATGCTGTCTCCCAGCATCAGGAACTGATTATCGGGTGCCATACTTCTGTCACAAATAACAGGTAGCAGTTTTGTCCTTTGCACATTATGCATTGGCATAATGCTTGGTATTTATAATGCTCATGAATTTAGCGTCAAATATCATTAAAGGGTTATCTTTCTTTCTGGCATTATTATTATTATTATTATTATCATCGTCATCCTCATCATCATCATCATCATCATCATCATCATCATCATCATCATCATCATCATCATCATCATCATTAAAGCGGTATAGAAGCTCGGCTTGAGAGTATTTCTCGAAACGTCAAATTTTTAGGTGCACCCCACCCCCACTACTGTGAAATAAAACATTCAATTTGGCCCTCCGTTGTTATCCCCCTCCCCTTGATTAAGCAATACATCTATACATAATCTCTTGCATTGAGACGACGAATAACATTTGCTATTAATTTACTACATATATATATATATATATATATATATATATATATATATATATA